GTTACTTGTTTGGGGTCTATAATACCTAGACCGCCTTCAGCGGGTTTCCTTGTAATGTAGTGCCATGCTATTTTCGGTATATAGTTTTCTTTGTTTGGGTTTCCTGACCACAGGTTTGCTCTAGCTTTGCGGTTGAGGTCCTTTATTGACTGGTCCGAGATTGTCCAGATAGATGCTATATACCACATCATTGAGAAGATGGAAGTGTTGATGGCTAGAGCACGACCCAGCAGGGAGGTAAATGTATTACCCCACCTACCCATCTTGTTGATCTATTTAGCGAGCATGTTTTGGGCCATTTGAGGGGCCAAGCCTTCTTTCGTCAAGAGGATGCCTAGGTACTGAGTAGGCATATCAGTTGTGTCCCAGGTCATGGCTGCCTCGGCGCCTTGGAGAAGAGGGACCTCTTCTTCAGATAGCCACCATCCGATTGTTTTCTTCCAGTTGATCTTCATTTCTTATGCCAGTCTGAATGCTTCCATAGCTCTCACGAGCGCACTGAGGGATGATCCTGAGGCTCATATGAAGACAGTGAGGTCGTCAGCAAACATTATGACTGTTGGGAAATGTATATGGTGAGTTGACCCTGCATTGATCTCCGGTGTTCTGTGTATGGACGGATCTTTGCGCAGGAATGATGCTATTGCTTCCATGACAGACAGGAAAATTGGAGGCGCTAGTGGATCCCCTTGGTGGACTGATAGTGAAGTTGGGTAGCAATCTGAGAGCAGGCCATTGACTTGCATGCAGCCAATAGCGTCGTTGTACAGGATGCGTACCCATTTCCTGAAATTCGGGCCTACTCCCATCTTTTCCATACTTGCATTGAGAAAAGTCCAATTGACCTGGTCGTAGGCTTTCTCAAAGTCGAAGAATAGTATTGTTGTGTTGATCCTCTTTTCTTTAACTTTATTGGCTGCTTCATTGAGGGTGAGAACATTATCCAAAATGTATCTTCCGGGGATGAAGCCCGTTTGGTCTATGTGAAAACACTTGTCAGTCAGGGCAAGGATCCTAAAGGCAAGGGCTTTGGCCAGGATCTTATAAGGGAGAGTCAATAATGAGATAGGCCTGTAATTTCTTATATCTTCTCGTTCGCCTTTCTTGTAGAGCAGGGTCACCATACTGCTACTCAACAGATTTCCCAGTCCTCCTTTCTGCCAACTGTCGTGATAGAAGTTCAGCAAATCCTTCCCTAGAAGTGGCAAAAACTTTTCCCATAATTCTTTCGTTAGCCCGTCAATCCCTGGTGTCTTGTTGCTATTCATGCTTTGGACTGCAAATTGCAGTTCTTCCAATGTGATGGGCTTATCGAGAGCCTCTGATTGTTCCTGTGATATTGTTCGATCCAAGTATTGAAGCATTAAGATTGCCAAACTATACAGACATCTTTCAGAAAGCAAGAGAAGAGCTAGCCACGTGGAGATGGTGGGAACTGAAGGGTATGCAAATAAGAACCATAATAAACGAATATGAACTGAGTGAATCAATGTCGAAACACTTCTTTGCAAGAATAAAGCCAATGCAAGGTCTAGCTCTATAGAAGGCCTGAGAACCCTTGCCGACTCTCTGGTGTTGGGAGGCGCAAGCGAGGGGGTCTTTGTGTGGTATAACTCCTCGTAGAATCCCTTAGCTATGTTTAGCATTCCTTCGCTATCCGTTAGTGTTTCCAACGGGTCGGCAAGGGTTCTCAGACCTTCTATAGAGCTAGACCTTGCATTGGCTTTGATTCTTGCAAAGAAGTGTTTGGTCATTGATTCACTCAGTTCATATTCGTTCATTCTGACTCTTATTTGCAAACCCTTCAGTTCTCACCATCTCCACGTGGCCAGCTCTTCTCTTGCTTTCTAAAAGATGTTTGTATAGATTGGAGAGGACGGGTTGTCAATTAAGTTTAGTTCGACAATCTTAAGGGTTGTTTCCATTGCTTGTTTCCTGTGCTTTGTGTTGCTCGCCAGTTTCCTTTAGATTTTTGCTACGGTTTGTGACAGAGTGGAGTAACTTTGGAACAACTCCCATCTATCGCGGATAGGTAGGTAATTACCTCTCATATTATGCCAACATTCTAGAACTCCCTCTGGGGAAGATTGACTTAGTAGGAGAGAGTTATTGAACTTGTGAAAGCTAGACTCTTTCTTCACGTGTTGTTCGCAGTTGATGATGAGTTCGATGGGTTTATGATCCAAGCCCTGATATGGTTGTAGCGGAAGGATTTCTGCGTATTTGGTTGTTCCCATTAGTATCTCTGAAAGTAGAAAGTAATCGATGAAGGAGAAGGTCGTATGTTGAGCATGGTTCTTTTTAACTAACGTGAAGGATTCCCCCCCCGGATGCAGAGTACGATACGGTTCGACTAGATTGTGATCCAAGATAAACTTATGAATGGGTGCCACCTCTTGTGTCGGCTGGTTGGTTGTGGATTTGGAGATGCGGGCGATGGAGGGATCCAATGTCACGTTCCAGTCCCCTGCTAAGATGCATGGTGTTAGGGGGGTAATCGGTTGACCAACGTTCGTTATGACTATTGTTCTTTCATAAGAGTCGTTTGGTGCGTACACATTGATTACTCTAAATTCCTCTTCCTTCCATTTGAAGTCCATAAGGCACCGTCTGCCCTCTGCTGTATTTGCCTTTATGCCCATGACCGACCCTGCCGTGAGGAGGCGGGAAGCTTTGGGTATGAGGATGGTTGTTCCCTTTGTGCTTGATACATTGTCCGATGACCATATTTTACTTGTGACTCCTCCCATATTTTTTGTTAATGCTTTTCAGATTCTCTTGTGTTCTATTGACGTGGTGAGGTGTGTTTCTTGTAGCAGGATTATATCCGCCAGTTTGTTTGTGTGAACCGTCAGTCCTTCGATTATGTCGTTTATTTTTGCTTCTTGGTACCTTGTGTTGCCCAGCCCATTGACATTCCAACTTTTGATGACCATCCCTTGTGTCTTCTAGTTCACTCGCTCCTCCTTAGCGTCTGCCCTCTTTCTAAAGATTTCCAGCATTACGGCGGTCGGGCCGTGGTGAGACTGGAATCATGGTGTTAAGGCTTTTAGGAGGGGTCCTGGTCGAATTCCTCCATAGCGGATGTGGACTCATCCGGCGGATCCTGCTGAGTCTTGGTGGTGACGTCATCTATCTGATATTCTCCAATGCTCCCACTTGTTCACTGGTCCATTGACAAGGCCGGTTTCGAGGTGATTCCATCATCCTGCCAGTCTTCCATATCATCCTCCGAACGGCCACTTCTGTAGAACCTGTCCAGATCCATGGTGAGTGCTTTGGATTCCAGATCACTGTCTCCATTGAAGATAACAGAGCTCAAGGCCGCCAACAGTTCTGCTGGAATTCCCGGACCCGTGAGGACACTGTATGGAATCATTGTGACAGTCCTCCATGGTCTTCACATCATCGCGCTCTTGAGTTGAGTGTTTGTTGGCATTTTGGCGATCATGGGAGAGAAGGCGTCGGGGGTGTGTCGTTCCCCCTCCATCTGGTGATCCTGTTGTTCCCCATGGGCTGCTCGGGAGGAGCTGGCCTCCAAACAGTCGCAGGAATCAATTGTTTCATACAAGCCCAGTGAGAATTCTTCCGTTACCTTTTCTTGGAGGATTTTGGCTACATTTTGTCCTTCGTCCAGCCTGGGAATTGTGAAGGACACATCGGGAGCCACCTGCCATTCTCCCTCCTTCTCGATGTACTTGGCTGCAATCAGCGCGCGTGTGCCCATTAGGGTCTGTCTTGCTGATTTGGCTGAGACCACAACGTGAGGTACCTTGCCATCCGCAATGTGCTGGATGGACGTGAATTCTGGCCTGTATTCTGCGTTCAGTTTTTTCAACTTCTCGGTTTGAGCCATAACCACCGCTGCTTTTTTTTCTAACAATGATCGGTCTGGATTCGAATCTGGTTCTTTGTTGTTTTCCACTTCTTTGGACGCAGATCCTAGAAGGAGTCATTGGTGTTGAGGACTATCTTGTCCTTGTCAGTCAGTCCTTGTTCTCTTGCTCCTTTTTTTTTTTTGCATACCTGAAGGCGGTATACTCTGAGAATTCCTCCGCCTTTTCCTTTTTCAGAGCCTCGTACTGATTGCTTGTTTCCTCAATGCCTGCGACTGTTCCATTCTTGCTGCTCTTTCCGTTTTTTTGGGATCTTTCAATGTGCTTCAAGCAGGCCGCTCTAATGTCGAAAGCGTGCTCTCTTTCCTTCTTTGCCTTTTTTATATAGTCCCGCAGCCATTGGAGGGACCGTTGGGAGTCAGGCCCACTGTCCGTGGTTGTTCCTCCGGTCTCCCCGCGATCCAGGTGCTGCCTTGTGTTCCCAGTAGTTCCTTTTCTCAGGGTAAAACGAAGCTTTCATATTTGCTGCGAGCTCCTACCCAGCTTGACCCTCCACTTTCCAACCGAAGTGTAATGAACACCAATCATCATTCACAGTTAACCACAACTAAGAATAACTATATGAAAACCCACAGTCCAACCTAAGAAAGTATCTCATCTTCTTGGTGTCAGGGATGTTCACGTTCCTCTGCAACAAACATGGAAGCTCAACTGAAAAACAGAGTCCTAGCTGAGGGATGTTGATTAGCAGATTTCAAACAAGCATCTTCAATAACTCTGGAACTACGTGTCAACTTCATCAGTGTAAGTGACCTGGCCAACTGACTAGAAGCTACTTGCCTAGTGAAGACTTGAAGCTTCAAGGGATGTAGTTCAGGCCTTCTGTATGCTACTTGCTTAGCATCTGTCCTGGAAGCTGCCTTGTCAGAGCATGACTGTGGGGTGGAGGCTGTGTGATGTGTGCTCAATGTTTATTGCTTGACTTGGCTCATAGAATGACATACTTCCTCCATATTCATTGTGCCGTCAGAGCTTGATCCTTATGATCATATCTAATCGCATACCAATAGCCACATTTTGCTTCCCACAATTGAGCTGCCTCTATGATGCCACATTCATAAGAAAAAATAATTGAGATTTTTGCCTATCTGGGATGTTGTGCAGATTACAGGAGACTCTCTTAACTTGGAGCAAGTTTCACAGGCATATGAAGTGATTGACGCATTTCACCACGGACCTGCTAATGCTGTCTATAAGTTCGGATCTCTAGTCAGTGTCATGAAGGAAGCTGCGGATCTGACTGAGGCACAAGACCTTTTTGAGCTTGTGAGATTCTTCTTCCCACATTCGTTTTCTTAATCATCATCATCTTCTTCTTCTTCTTCCCACATTCACCCCTTTCCCAACATCCATCCCTCCTTGCCCCCTCCCTCCCTCCCTCCCTCCCTCCCTCCCTCCCTTCCTGCCTTCCAGCCTCCCACCCTTCCTGCCCCCCTCTCTTCCTCCCTGCAAAAGAGCACACGAGAATAAATGGGGAGCGTGGAGAGACACTGAAGCTGCTACTAACCTGAGTGCTAGTTGATATCGTGCAAATAACTCACTACTTTGTGAATGTGTCTGATATCGTACTTGTGGTGCAGGTGGTTGTTGAATACAAAGATCTTCAAAAATGTCAGGAAGAACTTGTACTGCTGAAACAGCTATGGGACATGGCAGGGGTGGTGATGTACACCTTTGACAGTTGGAAAAAGACTCCGTGGGATAAGATCGATGTCGACTTTTTCTTAGATGAAACCAAGAAGCTGGCACGAGACGTAAAGGTACAAATCTGTGCCCTCCCTCTTTCTTTTAACAATAAAGGACCTAGAGGCCCTGAAACCTTTCTATTCGAAGGAGTATCAGTCCAGTTGCGTTTCCCCAGCCAGTCAAGAAATACAATGAAGACCATATGCCAGCCCTCCCTTCCGCAAAAGAGTGGACGATAAGATCAGGCAGATCCCGCAGAAGCACCACACGAAACTCAGACAACCAGACAGCCCCAACACCCAACCCATACTGGGCTCCGACTCTGAAGGCCTGGAGACGTTTGATGCCAAGCAAACATGGCACAGTGGAATCAAAAGAGGAGGCTCTGAGACAACCGCTGTTCTGTAATGAGTGGAT